CCCTAACTATTCTATGATTCTATGAACTCAGCTGAGTGGCAGCCAGGTTCACCACAGCTTTATTCTCACAGGTGCAGTTACTTTTCCCAGAAGAAGGACTGGTTTATGACTATAAACTGAATGATGCTGGGCTTAGCAGTCCTGAAGATGATCTGGATGAGGAGGTCATTAGGGAGGTAAAATATTTCACTTTGAACTTCAAGCTGAAAAATTTTGGGGGATGGATCAGAAAGTGACACAGTCCTGCAGGATCGTCATCAAGGGTGAAGAGGAAAGGCCTATAAGAACCAAGTGAGAATGTTTAAAGTTAAGTTAAGCTTTTCATTAAAGGAAGGCAGCAATTTCTTGCCCTCAGGATTGTGAAGCAGATCTTTCAAATCTGAGACGAGGGCTGATCAATTCAGACCTGAGTGTCTCTGCCAGTGCTCAGGAAAGTGAGAGGATTCTGCAAGTGTGGCTGCTGGAGGAGAACAGGGAGAAGCTCAGACGGAAAGGTTGGTCTGTGGGTCTGTGTTAGAAAGCAGTGCATAACAGCAGAGGAGCTGTGTGCAGTAGAGTGTGGAGGAGGAGCAAGGCAGACAAACATGCCGTCTTTTTCACAGGAGGCAGCAGAGGAGTAAGGCATGCAAGGCCCATCTGACTGACAGTCACCAGCCTCTGGGCTGAAAGAAAAAAAAAATCCACAGGGGAAAAAAGAAAAGGAGGAAAAATGCTTCCCCCTCCTGAAATGAGAGCAAAGTAAAGAGCCTTACATGAGTATCAGATGTTTAGCAGAAGCTGCCAGCATCGTCTCTGTGGGAAGGCCACATGGGGTGTCAGGAATGCACATTTTCTCAGTGTTCTCCAGCATATCCCTGACAAAACCTCTGTCTCACTTGTATAGTGACCTCTGGGAGGTTTGCCTGTGGGTTAACTCTAGCACAGGTCAACCATGTCTTGTACAAGTACAAAACTTGCATGTGCCTCTGAATGCAACATGGATGATGGCACCAAATGTGAAGATAGGATCCCAGCTAAGCCCTCAGTGGCCCTCTGCCATGGGGGCATTTACATGGTGGGTCAGCTTAGGACAGAATTCCAGTTTTTGCAAATACTACAAGTGCTCCCATCCCCCTTTGATCCCATTTTCAGAAGGGAGGGTAAGTATATTGTTGCTGGGGCAATAATCTCTAACTTCCAGGCTACTACCTCCCTCCCAAAAGAAATTAGAGCCTCACAGCATTGCTGTACAGAAAGGTGAGGGTGGCAAGACTAGACAGAGGGGCTGAAAACCTGAATTCCTCATCAGAATCTGCACAAGAAGCTGTGACAGGGAAAATACAGAAGAAATAGTTTTCCTGTTCCTGTAGGGGATAAATGCAGCTGCCCCCTGTAAACACACCCATACCTTTCAGGTGCGCTGGGAGAAGTGGCTGGACCCTACAGCACAGTTCACCATGGCTCCTGATACCAACTTCTGTGACATTATTGTGCCCACGATGAACACAGTCCGAATGGCCCATCTGCTGGAGCTGTTGCTCATCAACTATAAGCCAGTATGTGCCCAACCTTATCTTTGATTTTTTGAGTTGTCCTTGTTCTCATCAACAGCTACCTGATACTTTGAGATTATTTCCCACTCCCATGGATTTGTGTTTCTCTGCTCAAAAGCTGTGCCTAAGCAACAAGAGCTCTCCATTCAGGCCACAGGCACCATGCTAGCACTGCAAAGGAATGTCAACACTCAGGTGTTCAATCAAAATGCAGCAATTGCTAGATAGCCCATCACCATCCCTCTTTACCTGTTTCCTACAGTTCCATTTCCTATTTCTCTGGTTGGATTCCTTCCACACCAAGAGATCTGTTGAATGGCTGTCAGGAGCAAGCATTCTGCCTTTGAATGCCTAAGGGAGCAGTAACTCCATTACCTCCAGCAAATGTCAGAGGTGAGAAACACAGTCTATATACCTGTGGTTATGCTGCTGATTGTGCTTCTAGGTTCTCTGCATTGGTCCCACTGGCACAGGGAAGACTCTCACAATTACAGACAAGCTTTTGAAGAACTTGCCTCTCAAATACATTGCCCACTTCCTGATGTTTTCGGCACGCACATCTGCTAATCAAACTCAGGATCTCATTGACAGCAAACTGGATAAGAGGCAAGTTTCCTTCCTGTGTTTGCAAAGGCAGCATCCCTGAGCTCAGTGTTTGTATCAACTTAGCCATTTAGTTTCATCCCAAGACCTGAAGGGGCTCCAAGCACACACAGCAAATCTGAGCTGAGATTGTGAGAGCCCCTAATAACTTGATACATTTGCAATAAAGTGAGACGGATTAGTGAGGGTCTGTAAAAATTGCTCCAATTCTGGTTATTCCAGAAATACTCCATGTCACAGCACAGGTGTTTGCAAACCCTGATGTGGGATATTTATAGAAACTGATGAGGGGAGAAAACTTGGCTGCTGACCCCAATCCCACTCCCCATGGTTAACAGCTTCCCTTTTTTCTTCATGGTCAGCCACTGGTTTGAAGTTTCCAACAGCTCTTATTTGTACCCATTTGTTCATTGACATTGTACATAAGCAGGCAAAATTTCACTCATGTTTGGAAAGAAGCCAGTGCCTCAACCCTTGCTCCAGATCTTTTCTGTGCAAAGGCCCATGTAAAGAGACATATGGAGTGAAAGTGTAGAGAGTTGAAACCGCTGCCCCAGGAAGCCTCTGAAGAGAAAACTGCTTTTGGGTCAAGTTAAAAGTACCTTTGCAATAGGAGTTGTCCTGTGTCCTTACACAGTTTTGTCCTTACAGGCGGAAGGGTGTGTTTGGGCCTCCGGTTGGGCGGTACTTTGTATTTTTTATTGATGACTTGAACATGCCCATGCTGGAGACATACGGTGCTCAGCCACCCATCGAGCTGCTGCGGCAGTGGATGGACCACCAGGGCTGGTATGACAGGAAGCAGATCGGTAAGACCCAGATCCTTTGCCCTCTTGGCAGAAGTTGGCTTGTTAATAGATATGCATACCTGCTGTGGAGATTTGTGGTGGGGGTTTTGAGCTATGACTTAGCATTCATTTCTAATTTTGCACTCTTCAAGGTGCTTTTAAGAAGCTGGTAGATATTAATTTTGTCTGTGCCATGGGGCCTCCTGGAGGTGGAAGGAATGCTGTCACTCCACGCCTCACTCGCCATTTCAACTACCTCTCCTTCACTGAAATGGAGGACAGCAGCAAGAAGGCTATCTTCTCCACCATCCTTGGCAGCTGGATGGGTAAGTTCTGCAGGCAGCTGCCACCTTCTCATCTTGTTGCAAGTCAACGTGGTAATAACGGAGGTTGGAAGGGGAGGAATTAGTATTGATGATCTGATCAAAGTGTTGGAAGCTGGAACTTGCATTAATTGCTTGAAGATGCTTTGGGAAAAGTGTTGTTTGAATCTTAGCAAACAGAGAAGCTCATACACTGTTTTAGTCTCAGGGTCAAACTCTGCTGGTGCCAATCAGCAAACTTCAGCTTTGTCTTTCACAGTTTCATAAGGAATCTTATAGAGTAGGCCTTTCAGAGAGGATTTTGTAATGGATGATGTAGATATGCTTCACCTCAGCAGGTAAAGCTGTGACTTATGTTTCTTGTCTTTTTCTAGATGGACTCCTAGGAGAAAAAAGTTACAGAGATCCAGTGCGTAAGTAAGAAAAGATGAGAGGGAGAGACTGTGAACAGAACAAGCTGATGGGCACAGCATGGCATAGCTTACCTGTGCTTTCAGCAGACAGACACTTGCCCAGACAACAGCCTTCTGTGGAAGCAGAGCCTTCTGTTCCTTTCCATCTGCTGCAGCCTGTGGAGAGCTGGGCAGGGTGGGTCTAAGCATGGTGCTACAGCCACCCAGAGAAAAAGGGTTCATTTGGAGTGAAGTGAGTCCTCTTGTATTTGACAGGGTGGGAATTTAGGATCATCTTTGCAAATGTGCCCTCATCTGCAAATCTGCCAGTAGGAAGGAGCAAGAATAGCAAGCTATGAGAGAAGCAAAGCAGAACTTTCTGAGTGCTTGCAGTATTTACAAGCATCAGTACCTAACTGTGAGCTTGGGGGCACATTGAAGGACCTAACTGTGATTTAAAAAGAAATTAAAGAATTTTGGAAAGAGTTTGAAAGTGCAATGTGCTGGGGTGTCACAGGGCTCTGCTTCCCCAGGACTGCTTGTAATAAACAACTGGGAGAGAAAAGAAAAAAGCAGTATTTTATGCACTAAAACTGGCAGCTGTGTTTAAATCTTGCCAGGCTGTTGCATAAGAAATTATTCCTCAGTGGCTTTGCATTTGCTGATCTCAATGAATTGCCACACAGTTTAGTGAGAGGGCACTCAGACCTTCTAGCTTAAAAGTAGCTGAGGTTCCACTGTGGGAGTATAAGGAGGGAGAAGGAAAACCTCTCTGGAGTATTTCAGGTAGGCACCACTTACCTGGTCTGGCAGTGCCTCCTTTCTCCCTGGGGTGCATGAAGTCTTAACACCACAGAACTGTTGTGTGATGCATTCTTCCCTCCCCAGATCTGATTCTCTTTGATTGGGAAACTCATTGGCAAACTGTCCACTGCAGTGAGCAGGTGCTTACTCAGGTTCCCATACAGTCTCTGCATAAGGAAGCAGAAAAGTGTGTTCTTGGCAAAGTCCTAGCAACACCTCAGCAACTCAGTCCCACCTGTCTGCACTGCCAGGACCTTCTCAACCCATAGTCACTACCCTGACACCCTCTCCACCTTCCTCTGTCTCTGCAGCAGGAGCACTTGCAGTGAAAGACCTGAATGAGCCATTGGTTGATGCCACTATTGGTGTGTATTTGACCATCACATCCCAGCTGCTGCCCACACCAGCCAAGTCACATTACACTTTCAACCTGAGAGACCTCTCCAAGGTGTTCCAGGGCATGCTCATGGCTGAGCCCAGCACCATCCAGGTGAGTCCTTCCATCAGCATAGTCATGCCACCGAGGGGAAGACCAGAAATGTTCCAGTGTAAGGAACTCATTGGTGCACCTACAAAGAGGCCTCAATTTCCTGATGAGGCTGTGTTTTGGTACTGTTCAATGAATGTGGTAGCCTTCCCTTTGGCTATATTGCCTAGTACCAGTAGTACACAGGCATCCCATACCACCACCACAGCCCTTCCTTGGCATAGAAGCATATGAGTGGCCACAGGGAGCCAGTATGATACAGCTTGGCCATGCAGGGCTGGATGGACCCATAGGGGACCAGGCAGGGGCAGAGGTTTGTCCTGTTACCAGCCCGTAGCAATGGAGGCTTCTGCCCCTTCAGCTCTCCTAGGACCTTGCTCTGGCTCCAGCCTGGCCAGTAGAGGTTGTTGACTTATCAGAGGAAGTACCTGGGACCCTGAATAACTAGGGTCTTGACTATTCAGGACCCTAGACCTGAATAAAAGATCTTTCTAAAAAAAAAAAAAAAAAAACAAACCCACAAGAACTTCTGGAAACAGTAAAAATTAAATCAAACTGAGGGAAAGATAAGGACAAACAACATGAAATTTAAATCTGAGAGAAAGCCTGACATATGGACAAATAGAGGGGGGGATTAGTTGAAGCTGAAATGAGCTCTCTGCAAAGCAGCTATTTTGACAAGAGTTGATTTTGAGAGGAGAAAGGAATGCAGCTTCCTCCACCTAGTTCTTTCTCCACTCCAGCTGCAGGAGTGGAGCAGGCCACATGCCAGGCAGGAACCAGCTTTCCTGACAGTGAGGCTCTTAATACTTCACTGCTTCTCTTATGGGGCTGTTTGCTGGGATTTCCTACCAGGACAAACTGCAGCTGCTGAAACTGTGGTACCATGAGAGCTGCCGGGTGTTCTGTGATCGCCTGGTCAGCAAGGAGGACTGCACCTGGTTCAACAACCTGATGAAGAGTATGATGGAGGAGTTAGACACCTCTTTTGAGGAGGTCATCCCCTCCCAGCCAGTTCTGTTTGGGGACTTCATGGATCCAGGTGCCCATATCAAACTGTACAAAGCAATTGACAGCCAGGAAAAGGTAAGGACCATGGGAATCAGTATGATGTGATCTATGTTCGCATCTTCCATGTCTTCTGCAAACAAATTAAACCAGTTAATAGTAACCATGGGGCTGCTTGAATTGGAGGTGTCTAGAATCACAAACCCTCCCAGGGCTCTCCTGTGAAATCCTACCCCAGATATGGATAGTGGCTGCATTTGGTGTGATGGGAAGTTGAGGTGGAACAAGCTGTCTCTGCATTGCCATCCTGGGGGCAGCCTGCTATGCCAAATTTCCCAAATGAGCTGCACTTGGGACAGAAAAGTGAAATTTGCTGGAAAGAAATGGCACATTACTCACAAACAATACTACTTTTGCCATTAAAGACTTCACAATTGACCTTTACAAATAATTAATGTTACTGCCAGAATCCCTCTTGGAGGAGATACTGTGAGTACTTTGGTAATGATAATTAAGCAAAGGCAACGAGCAGTGTGTTTTGCACTCATTATCAGAAACAGATTATTATCTTGTTGTCTCTGCTCTTGTGATAGCTGTGTGACAAGGACTGGTAATTAACTGAGCTTTCCAATCTCTTCTGCAAAGTAGCTAGGTCTGTCCCCCACTGAGGTGAGCACAGCTGAGATAGCCACACTTACCAAGCTGTTGCACAGTCCCCCAATATGCACAAGACTTTGGCATCTAGGCAGTGATCTCAGCACTGTATAAATTCCAGCTGATGTTGCTTGCCCAGGTTCACAGTGAGATTGCTGAGGGGGTAGGACCAAATCCCAGATGTCTTCATGCTTCATCTCCTGCTGTAGCCTGAGGGTGTTGTTGAAGAGAGCCCTGGGAAGGGCAGGAGAGACTGCTCCTGCAGCTATTTCTGTGCAATAGCAGGACCAGGAGAGGAGCATACTTCTCTACCCACCTGCAGCCAGTAGTGTTTTCTTCCAGCACCTGCCCTTTCCAGCCGGGATCCAAACCACAGGATGCAGCAGCAAGCAGTGGTCAGCTATAGAGTGAGGAAGCTCTCCCACAGGGAGGCCTTGGAACAGTATGGGTCAGACAGCCATAAGCTATTTTATTTTGAACTATGCCTTGCTATTTCTCCAGGCAAACAGCACTGTTGGGAACAGCAGACCTCAGTCACTTGCCTGAGTTAGTTTAAGGTCACCTTTCAGCAGCTGCTGCCACCACCTCTAGCTAAATTCAGCTCAGCCAAATGGCAGTTGCTATAGGAGCATGAAGCAGAGAGAGCCATCACCTCCCACAGGCAGCTACTCACAGACCCTGCTGAGCACCAGGATCTGCCCTCCCAGAGGCCTGTCTGTGCTTACAGACAACCACCCACCCCCTCTCCATTGATTTTTATCTGGTAGCCACAATTGACTCTTTCTGCCCACAGCTGAAGGCTGTGATTGAGGATTACCTGGAGGAGTACAATCAAGTCAACACCCCAGAGCTGAAGCTTGTACTGTTCATGGATGCGATACAGCACATCTGCCGAATCAGCCGGATTCTGCGGCAGGCGGCAGGGAATGCTCTTCTCCTGGGTGTTGGGGGAAGTGGGAGACAGTCTCTCACCAGACTGGCATCTCACATGTAAGTAATGCATTCCTATGCACATAATGTGGGGCTGCCTCTAGAGAATCTCTTTCCTGCCCTTCCTGCTACTGGTTACACATTTTTCTGGTTGCTGACTTTTAAGATTTAACACTTAAGAGCTAGGGCTCGGTTAACATGCACATCCACAATAGAAAAATTCTGTTACTCTTTTACCTGCTAGTAGCTTGGGTTGCTGCTGCAGGCATGTAGTGAATGAGCAAAAGCAGCATGGTCCATGTCAGCTTGCTGACCTGTGCAGCACTCGGCACCCAGGGTTTCTTCCTGGGAGCTGGGCAGTAGAAAGACAAAGACAGGAGCTACTAGTGACCAAGTGATACTGGCAGCCTGGCAAGTAGGACTGGTGAGCCTTGGGAGTCAAGGAGCCTCAAGGGGAAAAGGGAACAAGGCTGAGGAAGAAAATTCTTCCAGCTTTGTAGACAGGGTGTGATCTTAGAGGAATGTAACCACAGTTCCCAGGTGCCCCAGCCTCTGAGGGCACCATCACAGAAAAAAAATCCATGTTGAGTTGTACTCTCTACTCTGAGGCACTGGGCTCAAAAAACAGTGTGGCTCTTAGCTCATGGAGTTGTACTTCTCCTGATTTCTAGCTAGCTCAGGTATCTCTGCTCTGAGTAAAACATGCTCTCGGGTTGGTGGCTCCACATGCACAGGGACAGGCATGTGCTCAGGACTTACTGCAGGAAAACAATTTGCTTGAGTCCACTCCCCCTGAATCCACAATGCATACTCAAGAGTGACAAAAGAGGAGATTTTAATTTGCTGTAACTCCACCGGCTTCTCTTTCCTTTAGGGCAGATTATGAGTGTTTCCAGATCGAACTGTCCAAAAATTATGGCATGACCGAATGGCGAGATGATGTGAAGAAGATCATGATGAAGGCAGGCATTGAGAGTCTACCCAAGACCTTCCTGTTCGTAGACACGCAGGTACATGAGTATTAGCATGGTGGACTCCATCTCAAAAGAGTCAGAAACACATCTCTAAGCTCAATAAATCCCTCTCAAAAGTGTTGAAGAGCCTGATACAAACCACGCACAACTTGTATTTCTTCAGTAGCCCACCTTCATCATCTTACAGCAAAGCCCCAGGGAAACTGAAGATGGTGCTAGAGGTACTGCAGAGCTGTGTGGGAGTGGGCTGATTGTCCTGTTGCTCAAGGAAACTTCCTTCAGCTCCATCCAAGGGTTTGGTGGGATCAGAGATTTTAGAGTCAGCTGCCTGAAGCTAAGCACTACTCTGACCACTGATACTAGAAGTCCTAAGTAACATCATTCTCTTTCCTTTAAAAGATAGCAGTAAATTTAGGGCCTTAAGCCTGCTGGTTCCACAGGATAACGTTAGCTTGCTACTGTAAACTGTAACTTGCTAATGACTAGGCCAAGTTCAGGAATTCGTGGTTGTGTTCCCCGTAGGGTTTTTACTGTCTTCATTATCACAGGAATCAAGTCCCTTCTGGCAGTGCCCTAAACAGTGAGATGAGCATCTGTCAAATGCTGCTTATTCTTGCATCCTTTTCCCTGCAGTGAGAAGCATGTATGGGAGGAAAAGGGCACAAGAGGGTAGATTTAGATAAGTAGAAGGATGCTGTGTATTTCTCATTTAGCAAAGGGGGAGAAGTCAGTGTAGCTCTGGAGGAAGATAGTCTCACAGACTGTGACACATCCCTACAATTACTGTCTCCCACATCCTTTAGTCTTAATCGTGAAGTGTTCTGTGCTGGGGGAACAAAGATCCAGAGCAACAATGGGACCTGTGGTCTGATTGCAGTCATGCGAGGCAGGGAGCAAGGCCCTGAGCTCAGTTTGTCTGTATAGAGACAGTGAAGGGCCAGTAGAAGGTTTGTTCTTAGACACATCACCCTCACCCCGAGATGGCTGAACATGGCTTTCTACTGGAAATGCTGGACAAGGCTTAGAGGATGCCTTACTGTAGCTGGGTCATCACAGAAGTGATTTCTTACACCAGAGGCTGACAGCTGTATTTATCCAGAAGTGATCTCCATGATATGTGGAGACAGGATTGTCTTATGACTTAGGAAATTGCTTTTTTTCCTTTTTTTTTTTTTTTTCCCTTCTCTGTCATCTACTTAGATTAAAAATGAATCCTTCCTTGAGGATGTCAACAACCTGCTCAACTCAGGTGACATTCCCAACATTTACAGCCTTGATGACCAAGAACAGATCATGACAGCTATGAAGCCCGTTGTTCGGGATCTAGGGCAGCAGCCCACCAAGGCCAATCTGATGGCTGCATACACGGGACGGGTTCGCAGCAATATCCACACAGTCGTGTGCATGAGGTACAGTGCAGGGGTAGGACTCCATGCTGTCAATGTTACTTACTCCCTCCTTGTTGTTTGCCTTGCATCACTTTGTCATGGGACCTTTGTTTCCAGGCCCCTGACTTTGCTGGAGTACAATTTGCATATCACCTTCCCATAGGATACTGAATATGGTTTTTTTACACTTTGCTGGTTTCAAGATGAAGTTTAAAAAGTTTAAGAATATTATTATATTTGATCCAGACTAAATGCAAGATTCCTCTTCCTTCCTGCACTATTGAGCTGTTTGTTACAAAGATATCTTGCTTGAATTTGGGGCTCAGTTGTACCATGTTTTCTCGTGAATCTAGTGCACAGTCCCTGAGCGGCTTGCTTGCTTGCAGGAGGGCTGCCAGAAGGTACAGAGTCTTATTCGTGCAAGTACATGTGGAAGAATCAGGGTCATGATTTTGGTCTGGTGATGTAATGTCTGCTTGAAATAGACTTCAGATCACATTTATTTCTCACCCCATAAGTGTATGTCCTAGGGAGGGACACATAAAACAACACCCCACTACCACCTTAATGCTCCCAGAATATACCCAGGACTTTCACGGAGTGAGCTATGACATGTACCTTTGAATATGTGCATGCAACTCACTGCCTGAACTTTCATTCTCTGTTTGCCTCTCTCCTTCTTCTTTCTTGGGTATATTCCCTTCCTTGTTAACTCTGTAAGAGTCCAGGGTGATTCTAGGGAAGTAGGAAAGTTCTTTTATCCTTGTATTTACAGATAGTTATAACATTTCATTTCTGCATGTGTCTTTCCCGCAGCCCTATTGGAGAAGTCTTCCGTGCACGCTTGAGACAGTTCCCCTCTCTTGTGAACTGCTGTACCATCAACTGGTTTAATAAGTGGCCTGCTGAGGCCCTGCAGTCCGTGGCCTCCTCCTTCTTGCTCGAGATCCCATGTCTTGGTGCCACTATGGAAAATATCAATGGCATGGTAGGTGCCACGTTCAAAACACAGCTCCTGTATGCTCAGTGTGCCATGTCTCTATATCCTCTATATCCACAAAGACAACGGGTGCAGGACACACATGCAGAAAGGTCCTACCCTGCAGCAGAAATGCAAACACAGAACCGGTTAGCTTTTGTATGCCTTGACACACACATGTCCATTTGTCACCCACTCCATGGCACTGAAGGCCTCATGCCTATATAAGCCATGCTGTGACTTAGGCTTTTTTTAAGCCCCTTGTGCTCTCTATGAGCATCACATAGACTTGCCTACCACATGTTCAGTACTAAATAAGATTGTTTCTTTCCTTTCTCCTTGTAGATTCAAGTATGTGTAGAAATCCATCAGAGCGTGGCAAAGAAGTGCCAAGTGTACCTAGCAGAGCTGGCCAGACACAATTATGTCACTCCCAAGAGCTACCTCGAGTTCCTCATCATCTTCAGTTCCCTGATTGGCAAGAAGAAACAGGAACTGAATACAGCCAAGAAGAGGATGAAAGGTGGCCTGGACAAGGTTCGTCCCTTGCACCCAGGAGAACTTTGGACCCCGCTTACTTACTCTAAGCAGTGTATTTATAGTTGCAGAGACATGCCCTACACATCTCCTGTGTAACAGGAGAACACTGATGCTAAATCAGGTGAGAACTATGCCTTCTGCCGGAGCAGTCTTTCTGAAGGTCTGAGTCTGTAACAGCTCTAAAAGAACGATGGTCCCCAGTCTTTGGGGCACAGACCTCACTCACTGTAGCTCATCATGTCTCAGGATGTTCCTTATTAACTGAAAGCCCTATAACAGCAACATTGTTCTGCTGACTGACTGCCATGAGCTTATGAAGTAATGGCCGTGATGTGCAAGCACCATTAGGCACTACTGTTCATAAGCACGCCACAGTGACAGATTGTTACTGAAGCAGGGACTAGCGCAAGACCTGCTTTGTACAGCCTGGCAGTGGGCAAGGACCCCCACCAGGGCAGCACAACCTTTTCCCGGGGCTATTCGTGGCTGCTACCTGCGCTCTCACTCTCCTTTGTTCCCACAGCTCCTGCAAACAGCAGACGTTGTAGCAAAGATGCAGGAGGAGCTGGAGTCCTCCCGCCCCCTCCTGGCACAGGCCGCCAAGGACACACTGGCAACCATAGATCAACTGCAGGTACTGCTGCTGCACAGCCCTGCGCTTTCCAGGTCTGACTGCTCAGACTGGACACAGGACTTGGGGACGTCTCGCAGGGGTTATTTGATCTGTCAGTAAAAAGGCCTTAGGTTAGCACAGCAGGTATTCCTGCAGAGCTGCACTGCCAGCGAGAATGGCCTTCTGCTTGGAGTCCGTGCTTTGGTGTTGGTGGGGCCAGTCACAACCTACCAGCCAGAAGCAATGGCTCACATGCTCCTCTCTGAAGTCACAACCCACGGGTCAGTCATCCAAGCCAGCAGCTCCTTTTCCTCACTGGTTTAGATCCTTGCACACACAGACTAGCAGCACTATTAACACAATCCTCAGGTAGTCAGAGAAGCTCTAAGCTGAGACTGTTGTTGCTGAAAGGGATCATTCCCCCACATCCCATCACCAGGGTGCTGATTCAGCTGCAGCCTGCCCCTGCTAGCCCAAACCTCAGGGATCACCACACACAGTCACTCATCCCACTGCAGAATGTCCTATGCTGGCTGTCCCTACCTTCCCTCCTATTTGTGGTCCTACCTGTTTCCTACTGTGGGATGGCCAAACACAGGGAACAGAGACACTAACATCAT